CTCACTCCACACCTCACACACCACACCCTACCCTCCACACCCTCACACACCACACCCTACCCTCCACACCCTCACACACCACACCCTACCCTCCACACCCTCACACACCACACCCTACCCTCCACACCCTCACACACCACACCCTACCCTCCACACCCTCACACACCACACCCTACCCTCCACCCCTCACACACCACACCCTACCCTCCACACCCTCACACACACACCCCTACCCTCCACACCCTCACACACCACACCCTACCCTCCACACACCACACCCTCACACACCCCACCCTCCCCCACACCCTCCACACCCTCACACACCACACCCTACCCTCCACACCCTCACACACCACACCCTCACACACCACCCTACCCTCCACACCCTCACACACCACACCCTACCCTCCACACCCTCACACACCACACCCTACCCTCCACACCCTCACACACCACACCCTACCCTCCACACCCTCACACACACACCCTACCCTCACACCCTCACACACCACACCCTACCCTCCACACCCTCACACACCACACCCTCCACACCCTCCCTACCCTCCACCCTCACACACCACACCCTCACCACCACACCCTACCCTCCACACCCTCACACACCACACCCTACCCTCCACACACACACACCACCCTACCCTCCACACCCTCACACACCACACCCTACCCTCCACACCCTCACACACTCCACACCCTCACACACCCCCTCCACACCCTCACACACCCACCCTCACACACCACACCCTACCCTCCACACCCTCACACACCACACCCTACCCTCCACACCCTCACACACCACACCCTACCCTCCACACCCTCACACACCACACCCTACCCTCCACACCCTCACACACCACACCCTACCCTCCACACCCTCACACACCACACCCTACCCTCCACACCCTCACACACCACACCCTACCCTCCACACCACACCCTCACACCTCACACACACCCTACCCTCCACACCCTCACACACCACACCCTACCCTCCACACCCTCACACACCACACCCTCCACACCACACCCTACCCTCCACACCCTCACACACCACACCCTACCCTCACACACCCTCACACACACACACCCTACCCTCCACACCCTCACACACCACACCCTACCACCCTCACACACCACCCTACCCTCCACACCCTCACACACCACACCCTACCCTCCACACCCTCACACACCACACCCTACCCTCCACACCCTCACACACCACACCCTACCCTCCACCCTCCACACCCTCACACACCACACCCTACCCTCCACACCCTCACACACCACACCCTACCCTCCACACCCTCACACACCACACCCTCACACACCACACCCTACCCTCCACACCCTCCCTCACACCCACACCCTACCCTCCACACCCTCACACACCACACCCTACCCTCCACACCCTCACACACCACACCCTACACACCACACCCTCACACACACCCTACACCCTCACACACACCACACCCTACCCTCCACACCCTCACACACCACACCCTCACACACCACACCCTACCCACCACACCCTCACACACCACACCCTACCCTCCCACCCTCACACCACACCCTCACACACACACCCTCACACACCACACCCTCACACACACCCTCACCCTCCACACCCTCACACCACACCCTCCACACCCACCCTCACACACCACACCCTCACCACCACACCCTCACACACCACACCCTCACCCTCCACACCCTCACACACCACACCCTACCCTCCACACCCTCACACACCACACCCTACCCTCCACACCCTCACACACCACACCCTCACTACACCCTCACACACCACACCCTCCACACACCCTCACACACCACACCCTACCCCCACACCCTCACACACCACACCCTACCCTCCACACCCTCACACACCACACCCTACCCTCCACACCCTCACACACCACACCCTACCCTCCACACCCTCACACACCACACCCTCACACACCACACCCTACCCTCCACACCCTCACACACCACACCCTACCCTCCACACCCTCACACACCACACCCTACCCTCCACACCCTCACACACCACACCCTACCCTCCACACCCTCACACACCACACCCTACCCTCCACACCCTCACACACCACACCCTACCCTCCACATCCTCACACACCACACCCTACCCTCCACACCCTCACACACCACACCCTACCCTCCACACCCTCACACACCACACCCTACCCTCCACACACACCCTCACCCTACACACCCTCACCCACCACACCCTACCCTCACACACCACACCCTACCCTCCACACACACACCACCCCCTACCCTCCACACCCACCCTCACACACCACACCCTACCCTCCACACCCTCACACACCACACCCTACACACCCTCACACACCACACCCTACCCTCCACACCCTCACACACCACTACCCTCCCACCCTCACACACCACACCCTCACACACCACACCCTACCCTCCACACCCTCACACACCACACCCTACCCTCCACACCCTCACACACCACACCCTACCCTCCACATCCTCACACACCACACCCTACCCTCCACATCCTCACACACCACACCCTACCCTCCACACCCTCACACACCACACCCTACCCTCCACACCCTCACACACCACACACCCTACCCTCCACACCACACCCTACCCTCCTCACCATCACACCCTAACCTCCCTCAACAAAATTTTGTATGTATGAATGTATTCACCTAGTTGTGCTTGCGGGGGTTGAGCTCTGCTCTTTCGGTCCGCCTCTCAACTGTCAAAATCAACTGTTACTAACGACTATTTTTTTTCCACACCACACACACACACACAGGAAGCAGCCCGTGACAGCTGACTAACTCCCAGGTACCTATTTACTGCTAGGTAACAAGAACATTAGGGTGAAAGAAGCTCTGCCCATTGTTTCTCGCTGGCGCCCGGGATCGAACCCTGGACCACAGGATCACACGTCCAGCGTGCTGTTCGCTCAGCCACCGTGTGTACGTATGTATGTACTGCTTGGGAAAACCTCACAAATCCAGCCCCAAATATCATCCTGCTTGGGGACATCTGTGAGATTTTTTTCTACGCCAACCTCCCTTAGGAGGTGGACTACAAGTTTAAAGGCTGCTCACGGCAGTTAAGCATGAGTCCAATAGAAAAAGGAAAAGCGGGAGCAAACCGCCAGGCCTCCACCACTAAGGGTGAAAACCTGTCCACAATAGGCCGCTGGTTCCTCCTAGTTAAACAGGACGTTAAAACTAATAAAGGGTAACCGACGGGTTCTCACAATCAAATATTTATATTTGATGTGGCGCTATGAATTGGAATTCAAATTCCCAATGACAGCCGTCATATCAAAAGATCACATCAACACTCAATCGTATAAAGCAGAACATGGGTGGAAAAGAATGGTTGAAGGGTTGACATCAAAGACCGTTTTCTATAACATAACAATTTATTAATAACAAGAGACTAAACTACTACATTACCGAGTTTACATTTACGTTAATGTCCATCAAGTGGCACGATGACAAACAGCTAAATAGCAACCCTTGCTGTGCGGCTGCATACTGAACTAACCTGAACACAGGTGTGCCCACTGATGACGCAATATTGCAAATCTAAAAAAAATATCACAGACTAAGTTACACCACAGCGAGTGGTTACGTTATTGTCCATCCAGTGGCAATTGCAACACAGCTATTCAACAGCCCCTCGAGAAATGACAGCAGGCTCCATCCTGCTGACACTTCGGGCTGACAAGTGAACTAACTGAACAATGATGCCCACTGAAGACACAAGCATGCAATCAATATTGTCACGGCTTCACGGTGACAATACTATAATCACAAGCTTAAGGGTCCTCCTTCCAAAGGAGTGACCCCCGTAACTAGGCGGGTAGTCCAACAGTGACTCCCCCTATCACAACCTAGTGTAAAGACTCTTTGCAACTCCCTACAAGAAGTTGCACTGTAAACAGTAAACAAAGTCAAGCAAGGTGGGATTCTAGGACACAGCTCCAGTAATCCCTAAGTTACTCTACTCTCGTCACCAGACGACAAACAAAAGAAATTGCCTTAATCAATTACCAAACTGATTATGTGATTAATTACGTTGACTGATCACAGCAGTCAGCAACAAAGTACTACGTTAATCACAACCAATTGTCTCTCATAGACAACAACATGATGGTACTCTACGTTAATCATTAACACTTGTCTCTCTTAACACATGTCATCTTGTTAACAATAACTCAAAACTCTCTTATATTACATCACACTTGACTCCTTGCAAGTATTCAGTGAGTAATTCTTAATTAAGGTCAAACGGACCACTAATTACATCCCCATTGAGTTACGATAACTAAGCCTACCCTAACTTGGTAGCTTCTCAACAGTCTGTGTCAAAATTTACTTTACTGAGTGTTAATTACCCTAATTAACTCCGAGCAATTAATTAACTGTCACCAGGACCGATAATTAATCATACATAAATACGTCTCACTCCGCACTGCCTAAGCAGGTCTCATCAAACACTGTGAATTCACGGGAGAGGAGTTAATTACCCTAATTAACATGAGTGCAATTAATCCACTGTCCTCAGACAGGATATGATTAATATAACGATTTATGCTAGCTCCATGACCTCGCTTTACCGAGTCATCTGAGTCCTCAAGACTCCAGACGTTAATTACTCCACTAATTATCATGAGCCACTAATTGCTATACCCCAGAAAGGTAATTAGTCCCGAGCAAATTACGTTAACACAAATACTGACAGATCCTCTCCCACTACGTGAATTCATGATGAGAAGGCTAATTACATAATTAGCTAGAGTGGTCAATTAGTTGTCACACGGACAATTAATTGCTCCCGAGACGTATCTCACTCAAGCTCAACACTGTTCTCCTATAACAGCTCTCACTCACTCAACAATAAGTGTGCACCCCTTATCCAGTTAATTACCCCTTTAATTAACTCACTGAATCCTTAAGTCCTCAACACAACTTAAAGGAAAAGTGGAAACTGGGTAGAGCAAGTGGTTTACTATTAAATCCATGAACTAGTGTCCTATGGATATTATTGATAATTATTATCTTGAATATATATATTGACTGTAATTTATGAATCAAATCTTCTCACCCAAAATGGGGGGTTAAATGTGAAAAGACTATTGCATCCCTGACATCATTTCAGTGTGGTTCGATCACTGAAGTAAATGAGATAATTAATTGCAAAATTGTGCAAAGATAATTAGAGGTGAATGGGCCTCAAGATACTACAATAGACTAGTATTACTACCAATGGTTAGTAACATGAATATATTGAGTAATGGTTAGACAAGATATTTATTCTCATTTGAAGTTCATGAGGCTATCAAATTGTACTTGATTTCCTAAATCATGTAAATGAAATATTTTTAAAGAATTATTAGTTATCAACCGTTACTTAGTGAAATAAAACTAAATTGAACTTGTTCAGCTGCTTAGCTGTGACAGTGAACGGAGATGCAGAGTCGTGATGGCGTCGTCTGGTGCTTGCTGGATCACGTGAGCCAAGAGCGTGGCGTGGGAAAATGATGAGACCACGGCCGCTCCAACGCACACTGAAATTCCAATTAAAAGTACAAATTGCCTACACCAAGTAGATTGTGTCATCACTATTCAATAGAAGGGACAGAGCAAATTCCTTACAGACGTACTTGTAGTTTGGGGAGGTCTTGTGGTGTAACGATGGACAAAGTGTATTATAAAATTAAAAGAGCTCGATTAATAATATGAGAACACTTAACCTGCTGGTTGTCCACCGATGCAATCCTTAGATTGCTACTGGAGCAGTTGCACACTCCTAGGCCGATTAATTGTAAGGGACTATCGTAGAATTGTTGGAAATTCGCTTCTCTCTGGACGCTCGTGTCGTACTTCTGATGGCGTCGCTAGTCCAGCTCTGACTCATGGCGTCGCTACGCTCTCGTCTCCCTCAACCCCTCTCTCACGCATTCGCAATAAAATTTGTAAGGACGGAAAATTCTTTTCCACGTAATTACTTTACGTAATGCGTTAATGAGAACAGCGTTGCAATTGTAGGGAATTAAATATTGTTTATATTCTCGCTAAATGGTGTTAATCATGAACAGTGTTCTTATTAACGAGAAATGGAGAGAATATCTATTTCCTCCATAGCGTTTGGATATAACAGATAAACTGTTATATAGAGATAATTTAAGTTAAGAACTCGTGGTTATTGAATCACTAGTCGTAATATTATCAGAGATTAACTCTTATAAAGAATACTGATAAAAGTTGAGAATATTATTCAATTCTCTAACATGTTGGTAATAATTATGTCCTGCTGGACATTATCTGACGCAATATACCTCTCAATGTGGTGAGAATTTCAGCAAATGACGCGTAGATAGAGAAATATTAATTTATATTAGTAATACAGTTAGTAGGGTTAATAAATACTGTAGTTAATACAATAATGATGTATTGTAATACAAGAAATTATATATTAGTGTTGGAAACTTTCCAACAAGTATTGATCACAGAACAACCAGTATTGATGATCACAGAGATTACACAGAACCAGTCAATTATGATCACAGAACCAAGCATTATTGATCACAGAACAATTAGTATTGATCACAGAACAACCAGTATTGATCACAGAGAAACCCAGTATTGATTACAGAACAACTAGTATTGATCACAGAACAGTATTGATCCAGAACAGTGTAGATCACAGAACAATCCTAACCTAATAATCCTAGGCCTAATTCACGTTATCTGAGGCCTAATATAGTACATATATGTGCTATACTAGGCTAGGAATATTTAAGTTTGGTTTTTAGTATTTATTTTTCCGGGCCCTACAAAATGAATACTACCAAGTTCTACTTTATATGTGTCCATCATGTGGATACATGCAGGAAGATCCACACAGTTACACAACGTACTGACGTATCAGCAGGGTGGGCTGGGGAATGCTAACGAACACTCTTTCCAGGTGATAATGCTAAGACGGTGAGGACGACGTGCCCCGAGGGCTTCATGCCGCTGGGGACCGGCTGTTACAGCTACTTCGACATGAATGAGACGTACGACAAGGCTCGGGAGATCTGTCAGCTCCTCTCGGGGGATAATGTCGACCTGGCCGTCTTCGACTCCCACGCGGGCGACGCCACCTTCATATCCACCTTCGCAATCAACAACGGTACTCTTAAATTTGTTGTTGTATTGACCTATGATTGTATAGTGAGCTCCAGCCATTCGGCCGCGACTTTCACTTTTCTGATGCAATGCCTACAATCCTCTTGGTTTATTATATCTTAGCTTATATATGTGTGTTTCGATGTCATTCTCCATCATATTCCATTTGCCTGCCACTCCCACGCTGACGGAACACTTCCCATATATCTTCTGTGGTGATGAGCGCCTCTGGTCGCCAGCCGTCCTGTGGTCCACTCCTACACTCCTTCAACCCACGCTTGAAACAATCGAGGGACCCCACCTCCACCACGTTACGCGGCAATTGGTTCCACAAATCAACAACCCTGTTACTGAACCAGTATTTACCCAAGTCTTTCCTATATCTAAACTTATCCAATTTATACCCATTGTTTCGTGTTCTGTCTTGTGTTGATACTTTTTATACCCTATTAATATCCCCTTTGTTATGTCCATTCATCTACTTGTAAACCTCTATAAGTCACCCCTAACTCTTCGCCTTTCCAGTGAATGCAACTTAAGCTTTGTTAATCTTTCTTCATATGAAAGATTTCTAATTTGGGGAATTAACTTAGTCATCCTACGCTGGACACGTTCAAGTGAATTTATATCCATTCTATAATACGGCGACCAAAACTGAACTGCATAATCTAAATGGGGCCTAACCAGAGCAAGATATACCTTAAGAACCACACCAGGTGTCTTGTTACTAACGCTGCGATTAATAAATCCGAGTGTCCGATTTGCCTTATTACGAACATTCATGCATTGATCCTTTTGTTTTAAATTCTTACTAATCATAACTCCCAGATCCCTTTCGCAATCCGACTTCGCAATCTCAACACCATCTAGCTCGTATCTTGTAACTCTATCATCATTACCTAGCCTCAGAACTTTACATTTATCAGCATTAAACTGCATTTGCCAATCCTTTGACCATTTCAAAACCCTATCTAGATCAACTTGAAGTGATAGTGAGTCCTCCTCCAAATTAATTTCCCTACCGATTTTCGTATCATCGGCAAATTTGCAAATGTTGCTACTCAAACCTGAATCTAAATCATTTATATATATTATAAACAACAGAGGTCCCAGGACAGAGCCTTGAGGCACTCCACTTACAACATTTTCCCACTCTGACTTGACTCCATTTATACTAACTCTTTGTTTCCTTTGGTATAGCCATGCCCTAATCCAGCTTAATTAATATAGCATGGTTGTCACCATGCATGCTGGCCTCCTTGTTCCTGTACCTGGAGGTTGTCACCATGCATGCTGGCCTCCTTGTTCCTGTACCTGGAGGTTGTCACCATGCTTGCTGGCCTCCTTGTTCCTGTACCTGGAGGTTGTCACCATGCATGCTGGCCTCCTTGTTCCTGTACCTGGAGGTTGTCACCATGCTTGCTGGCCTCCTTGTTCCTGTACCTGGAGGTTGTCACCATGCATGCTGGCCTCCTGTTCCTGTACCTGGAGGTTGTCACCATGCTTGCTGGCCTCCTTGTTCCTGTACCTGGAGGTTGTCACCATGCACCTGGAGGTTGTCACCATGCATGCCTCCTTGTTCCTGTACCTGGAGGTTGTCACCATGCTTGCTGGCCTCCTTGTGGTTATTGTGTTACCTGATAATGTGTTGCATAAATCCAGTTTCAAATTTCTAAACCAGAGTTTTCTTCCATATATATATATATATATATATATATATATATATATATATATATATATATATATATATATATATATATATATATATATATGGTATATATATATATATATATATATATATATATATATATATATATATATATATATATATATATATATATATATATATATAGTATAGGCAACTGTTGTGGGGTTGCATCCTGGGGAGGGTCAGTAGTGCGCTCTTGCAGGGATTTCGATACATGCCTAAGCGCAGGCTTCCTGTCCCCGACAACAAAAACTATCAAGTATTTAGGGTAAAGTTGAATGGTTTCCAGCTTTAATTTTTCATTAACAATTGCATCCCTCCTGTACACCATATAATTATAATGTCAGCCAGTAACAATGATTGTTCCACTTCAGTAGCTATGTATTTACAGGTAATCATTATACATTAAGGAACGGTCTTTTTGCTAATACATAATTGTTGTAGCTATGGAAATACAGATATTACTGAGTCATAGTAAAGCTGCTGCATGTTATTATTAGTCTTCACAATTCACTACTTGCTTCTTACTCTCATGCCGTTTATCTACTGGATAAACTGTCAACATTAAGATTATCTACTTGATCTTAATGTCGTTTATCTACTGGAAGCGTTAATGTCGTTTATCTACTTGCATACCGTGCAAGGAGTTCAAATATTTTATCCTTGGTAATAATATGGTTTGCTATTTCATGTAGCGTCAGTTTAGAAGTATTTCTAAATGGCTCAATTTTATTACAGTCCAAGATATAATGATCTGGTGTGTCCCTGTCTTTGTTCACACACTTTACACTTTACTTCATCTAGATCCCTATACAAGCCGAACTGCCAGAGATACTTGTAGCAAAGTCTTATTCGAGCTGTGACAACGTCTGTTAATCTACTGACTTTGTTACTTGCCCCATACACATGTTTTACTTGACACATTTTATTGTATAAACAATCCTGGGGAGTTCCAGTTGGCATTGTTCTACTTTCTTCAAATTTATCCATTCATCTTCTAATGATACTTTTAAGGGAGCTATTTGATAACTCAAGATTCCGTTTAAGCTTGTCTTTATTTACTGAAACCTTAGCAGTAAGCAACCTTCGGAAACAAACAGGGTATTTGATTGTAAGATATTTTATTTAGCTATTTTATATAAAAATGTAGTGAGGAAAGGTAGTCAGAAATAATGTGGAGGTGGTCGCCACGTGGTATAACAATGGGGTGACGTAATGGTAAGTGGTAAGACACTCGCCTGGCGTTCCGCGAGCGCTGTCATGGGTTCGTATCCTGGCCGGGGAGGATTTACTGGGCGCAACAAACCGTAATAGTTCACCTTGAGCTGAAGTCGTCGGGGAAAGTAGGTCGGCGAAGGCAGGTGAAGCAAGTCCAGGCTTCTCAGGAAGGATAGGGTAGAGGGAGTCAAAGCCTCTTCAGTAATCCTAGTAGCACTTATCCTAAGTGCAGGTGGTGCCGGATGGGCGTCGTCCGCATTGGGTCACGTGCAGTTCATATCTGTGCTCCCTCTCTCGACCTGCGCGGGGCTGCTGCGCGGGAAGGCTGTGCGCGGTCGCCGTCCACCAATCAGGGCACAGTCCTGCCTACGCTATGAAATGTCTCCTTTGGCGGACACTTTGAATGTGGTTCCCTCCACAATAATTAAGCTGTCAACTTCAGTGTTGTCAATAAATTTGAGTGCTACCAGTATGGCAATCAGTTCAACTTGCAAGGATAAGTTCAACGTACCCAGTTACAAATTCTTATATTCATTTCAATTGTGCTGATAAGCAATAACAGCACTTCCTGCCCTCCCTGTTGCTGTAATGAGTGATCTGGCAGTGTTATGGTCTGTGTGATGTTGTTTTTAGTTTTTATATTGTGTATGTGTTCAAGAGTATTTAATTTACCTTTGAGTACACACGCACACACACATCCATCCTACTCACCCATTCCTTTCACCCATCACCACTCTCCGATTCCTCTAACCCATCCCTCTCACTCATTCCCACATTATAACAGAACTGCCTCACTGACCAGCCACTTACGGGCGATTCATGCCCGTGCCACCTCTTGGGTGGATTAATCTTCATCACCAGCCAGGCATATCTGCTGTGCCAGGTGAGAACGACGGGCTCACCATACCCCGTGCTGCTTGCAACATTTTGTTCCGAGTAGCTGACTCTAAACCAACTGAGCAGTCTTGCCTCTTCCCCAGAGATAAGCAGCCTGTGGGTGGGAAGCACTGACGAGGGCCACGATGGGTACTGGACGTGGGTGGATGGAAGACCTTTACACCCGGAATCACCGTACTGGAACACCACCATGCCAAGGGGCAGTACCATTTATAATTGTGGCATTATGTCTCAAGTGATGGAGACGTCGGTGAGGATGCGCCTTATGGATACTCAATGCAGTAATAGATATCCCTTCATTTGTCAGCTGGGCCTGAACCCTCTGAAGTAGACCTGCTCTTGGTGTTACTTGTTTGTTTATGCTGAAAAATTCACACACACAATTCAAACAATATTTGATTATTTAATGTAATAAAATCATTATGATTTGATTATTTAGCCTCATGAGTGAAAATAAACTGTATAACTAACCTGGCTGTCAACACCATAGGTAGCTAAGAATGTAACTATATTCCAAAAACCAAAACAACTTTAGAAGGAAATTCTCCTCAAACCATCAACAAAACTTCCAAGAAATATAGAACAGCTGCAGGAATGTATTGCAAGTGTTTCAAGCCAGAGCACATGGGTCATTATTATTATTGTCAGTTAAAACAATTATTTCCACATTACAAATTAAAGATGTAAGTTCTCTGAGCTGCTGTAAGAGATATGCTCAGTAAAAATAACATAAATAGAACATATTTATAGCATATCAGAATATATGCAGCTAATTTGGTGCACTTTAATTGTTGTTTGTATATGCTGATGTAATAATCCTAACTTCTCTACCCTTACTCTCCACTCAATACCCCAGCTTAACACTGCTTGCAACTCAGCATGACCCCTCACTGAGCTACGGCGAATATCAGCGGCAATCATGAAGTCAAGGGTTAAGGAACTTGGTAAATAAATCTTGGGAAATTAAAAGGTAATCTTTACTTTACTGATTGAGGATTCAAAGACAACACACTACACTACACTAATTTTTGTTCAAGGACAACTCTAATAACCATACAATGGAAGAACACAGAGGAATTTCTAGGACCGCACATAAAACCACGCAAATAGTCATGAATCAGCATTAATAACCAAAAGGGGGAACAAATAGCTAAACACAATGAAATTAAAATACACTTTATTATTTAAGTCACGTATATTGAAGACAAATTAAAAATATAACCTACTCTCAGATTATCCCTAAGAGGTAATATAAACGGAGTGTGCAATTACTTTTGATGTATCAAAACTCAGAGAGACATTACCTTAATCCTTGCAAAATCGGCCAAGATGTTGAATGGCTTTCCTACAGGTCAGGAGACCTGTACACCAGTAAGCCCCAAGACACACTGACTTCAATATTCTTAAACTACCCCTGGGAGACCTAAAGTTTTCCTCTGGAGCTTGGCTCCGGCTAGGAGAACCAATCAATTCAAAGCAAACCTGGAATATTCTGAGGCTGGGCCAATGGGTGACTAGGCACTACCCTGGGGGACTCCGCCTCTCAAAGCTCAACCAATGACTACTGAGTGTTACTCTTAGGCCAGCCAAAACTCTGACTTAGCCCCACCCCTAGGCCTCCTTGGTGACATAGGACTGTCCTGAAAGTTTTGTTTTACTCCCGTATAATCATGAACCGTTCCCATGCTACAATCACTGAATGCCCAGTTATTAGACCTTTCAGACCAGTTGGCATGAGATACCTGGAGCTTTGCAATTACTTTATTCACTCTCGTATTCTTGAAGATATCCTCATAGTGTACCCAAAATTTGCCAGTGCCGGCTACTAAACATATGTCCCCTGTATGACTAACCATCCTGAAAGATGAGGACTTTTATTACCACTGCTGCCTTATTCAATCTTGTGTTGATGATATCCTCAAAATGCTTCCGGAGTCTGCCAGTGCAGACTGCTTATCACATGCCTCTGTATGACTAACCATCCTGTGTGATGGGGATTTTATAGCATCACGTAGGTAGCTTTTTTGACACACTGTACTCCACTTCATATAGTCAAGGGTAGCTGCACTAATGCAGATGTACCTAATGTATTAATAATAAAACAAAAACAGGAAACAACAGCCGTTTTGGCTCCTAGCCCCCTCACTTGAAACTTGAGAACTATGGTAATTCATCACTGGTTCTAAACCTGTCAAATGGTTAGTGGCGAAGGCAGGAGGAGAGGAGAACGATTGGAAAAGACTGGGAGACAACCAATTGGAGGTATTAGAGAAAATAGGATTGGGGAATAGGAGAAGACAAGTGACTTGACCACCTGCCTAAGGGGTATTTTGACTCGAGTAGTATATGGCAGGAACTGCCAACAAGGGAGGGAGGAAGAGTGACCAGAGGATCGGACTGACAACTGGGGAGGGGAAGGGAAAAGGAATGAGGCAACGGGGGAAGGGGGAAAAGGCGTTTCTTTCTAGGCGATTAACCATGCATAAACCACAGGGCTCCATCAAGGAACATATAATCTTTTCTCACAACCAGACCATCACCAGAGAAATCTTAACACGCAACACAAAAATTATCGATAAATACAGTGATAGCAGGAGATTCGACATCAGCGAGGCACTACCCATCAAAAAGTCAACACCAGCAATCAACAGCCAATTAGTGCACAACTATATTCTACCTACTTCAAGACCCCGAACCAACATAAAAGGAGCAAGAGGAGGTATGGGCCAAAAGGCCTTCTGCAGTTACTTCCATTCTTATGTTTTCATACCCATTGTTTCGTGTTCTGTCTACTGTTTGTCATCTCACCCAAAACGTTTGTGCCATATCACCTCACCCAAAACGAGTATAAATCTGATGAATTTTGAAGTGTAAACTAAGTGTTTGAAAATATAATAAGCATTACAAAACGCGTTCAGGCGTCAGACCAGAAATAAATAAAGAATTTTGTAGAGTAAATTTTTCAATTACCCTCGACAGTGGAGAAGAACGTAAGAAAGATTGAGAAGATAAGTGTTAGAATTATTAATCTTACCCTTTCGGTCATATTCAACCACATATGTTTATAAGAAAGACTGCTACCAAAATATACGACTGAAATATATATATATATATGACTGAAATCTCTACACCCCAGAAGTGACTCGAACCCAGACAGCCAGGGGCACTATGCAACTGGCGTATCTGGTACCTTAACCACTTGACCAACCGTGACCATGAAAAAGACGATGGTAGCCGAGGCTATTTTCCCCACCGTCTTGACGGCACTTGGTGGTGATGCCTAAGCTCCCCCACCGTCCCAACTTTTCCCAAGCTCACCACCAAGTGCCGTCACTTGGGGACCATTCAAGCTTGTTCGCATATATATATATATATATATATATATATATATATATATATATATATATATATATATATATATATATATATATATATATATATTAGTAGGCTGAGAAGTGCGTTCTGGCTATTAGGTACGACATATATATATATATATATATATATATATATATATATATATATATATATATATATATATATATATATATATATATATAGGGAAACAAGAGTACCACCTCTAGCTGGAAGAAGGGGGACCCATAGATATATATATATATATATATATATATATATATATATATATATATATATATATATATATATATATATATATATATATATATATATATATATATATATATATGTACATTAGTATATTTTGGTAGCAGTCTTTCCTGTAGACATATATTATTAAATATGACCAAAAAAGTAAGATTAATAATTCTAACACGAATTTTCTCAATCTTTCGTACATTTCTTTTCACTGTTGGAGATAATTCAAAAATCAATTCTCCAAAATTCATTTTTATTTCTAGTCTGACGCGACACTTGTGCGCGTTTCGTAAAACTTTTTACATTTTCAAAGACTTTAGTTAACACATACACAACTGAATAGAACTTACACATCTCCGATTTTGTTTATATCTACATTTGAGTGAGGTGGATGGGGTGAGGTGGTATTTAATAAGGTATTAATTTCATCAACACAAGCCAGAACATGAAACAATGGGTATTGAATAGAAGTGATTGTAGAAAGCCTGTTGGTCCATATTTCTTGATGCTTCTATATTGGAGCGGAGTCTTGAGGTGGGTAGAATATAGTTGTGCATTAATTGGCTGTTGATTGCTGGTGTTGACTTCTTGATGTGTAATGCCTCGCAAACGTCAAGCCGCCTGCTATTGCTGTATCTATCGATGATTTCTGTGTTGTTTACTAGGCTTTCTCTGGCGATGGTTTGGTTGTGGGAAGAGATTATATGTTCCTTAATGGAGCCCTGTTGCTTATGCATCGTTAAACGCCTAGAAAGAGATGTTGTTGTCTTGCCTATATACTGGGTTTTTTGGAGCTTACAGTCCCCAAGAGGGCATTTGAAGGCATAGACGACGTTAGTCTCTTTTAAAGCGTTCTGTTTCGTGTCTGGAGAGTTTCTCATGAGTAGGCTGGCCGTTTTTCTGGTTTTATAGTAAATCGTCAGTTGTATCCTCTGATTTTTGTCTGTAAGGATAACGTTTCTATTAACAATATATTTCAGGACCCTTTCCTCCGTTTTATGAGCTGTGGAAAAGAAGTTCCTGTAAAATAGTCTAATAGGGGGTATGGGTGTTGTGTTAGTTGTCTCTTCAGAGGTTGCATGGCGTTTCACTTTCCTTCTTATGATGTCTTCGACGAAACCATTGGAGAAGCCGTTGTTGACTAGGACCTGCTTTACCCTACAGAGTTCTTCGTCGACTTGCTTCCATTCTGAGCTGTGGCTAAGAGCACGGTCGACATATGCGTTAACAACACTCCTCTTGTACCTGTCTCGGCAGTCGCTGTTGGCATTTAGGCACATTCCTATGTTCGTTTCCTTAGTGTAGACTGCAGTGTGGAAACCTCCGCTCTT